ACCTCTACCACTACCTCTGGCAAAGGCTATCACTTCACACCAACAGTGTCCTCAATGACCTTCCCTGTGACATTAGGACAGCCCCCAAACGTTAGCAAAAGAGATTTTTATTTACATAAAATAGTGCATGTTTGTAATCCCAGGTACTTGGGAGAGTATGACAGGAGGATCACAATTTAAACACTAGCTTGGGCAATTTAGCATGAGCCTGTCTTAAAATAAATTTTTAAAAAGGCTGGGGGTATGTATCAGCAGTACAATGCCTGCCTAGCATGTGTGAGGCCCCGGATTCAATTCCCATAGTGAAGACCCCAAAAAGCATCTTGATAATTATCACCCAATTTACCAAAGCAGAGCTACACTTTCACGCTAAAAATGTGACTCATTCTAGATCCATAACCTTAACAATTGCCTAGCTGAAGCTGGCTATGATGGCACCATGGATGGAACACTGGGCTGGGACACAAAACGCTGCCCAGCTGGGATAGGGTGGTGGGGAAGTCACATGCTCCTGCAGTCCCAGCACTCGGAAGGCTGAGGCAGGAGGCTCACTTGATCCCAGGACTTCCAGCCTAGACAACACAATGAGGCTACTTCTTAAAAATTTTTTTTTGCTGGGCATTTCACTCCCATGTTTGCCTCTGTTTAAGAAGAAATGACTATAGCTTTTAAGAGTCCGGTAGCAGCTTTTGGACACTGCTTTGAACTGTTAAGTAAAGAGTTTGGGAAACATGCCTGTGAATCCACTGAGATTGGACAGAAGCCAAATTCTATTATAATACAAAATCCAAGGTGGTGCCTTGTGGGGAACTGATCTCATAGCTCCGGTGCTGTGTTACCCTGGACGCGGATCCTACAGCAGGACATCACTTGGGCTGGGGAATTTTTTTGTTTCCAGATACAATGTTTATGGTCACAAGATTGAGGATGTGCAAACCAAATAATGTCACTACTTCCATTAATAGATAGTGACACAAAGGGGAAAAAAGCACAATGATACACACACATACACACACACACACCTGCACTCACACCAGAGTTGTCATTTATAGTTGTCAACTACAGTCTCTTGGGGAGGGCTGGTCTTTTCTTTTCTTTCTTTTTTCTTTTTTTCTTTCTTCAGTACTGGAAATTGAATCCAGAGCCTTACCACTGAGCTGCATTACCAGTTTGTTTGCTTTCTATTCAAAGGCAAGATCACAATAATTTCCTAAATTGCTGTAGCTGGGCTTGAACTTTCAATCCTCATGCCTCAGTCTCCCAGAGTGCTGAGATTATAGATGTATGCTATCATGCTAGGCTTGTGCTTTTTCTTTCTTTTTTTTTTTTGTGTGTGTGTGTGTGTGTGCTTTTTCTTTTTAAAATTGCCTCACTTCTCCTCTCTACCCCTTCCTCTCTTTTCTTTCCTTCCTCCCCCCATCTTTTTTTCTTTCATTCTCTCTTTTCTTTTTCTAATTGTGGCCCTAGGGATCCAGCCCAGGGCCTCAGGCATGTTAGCCAACAGTTTTGCCACTGAGAGGCAATCCCCACTCCCTTTTAAAACAATTTGGAAACAAAGTCTCACTAAATTGCTAGGCTGACCTCAAACTCAGTATCTTCCTGTCTCAGCCTACCAAGTAGGCTATACTACTATGGGCATGCACCACCAAGTCCAGCTTTCTTTTTTAAATTTTAATATTAAAATATCCTTCCCTTTAGGAAATGGACATTTTAATATTTAAATGTCCTTTCCTTTAACTAACAACAGTTAGTTTTTAAAAACATGAATGGGTTTTAAAAGTTCTGATGAGGGGTTGGGGAGATGGCTTAGTGGAATAAGTGCTTCCCAGGCAAGTGCAAGGGCCCTAGTTCTAATCCCTGGTTCCACCAAAATAAATAAATAAATAAATAAAAGTTCTGATGGGGGATGGCTGATGAGATAGCTCAGAGGACTAAGCCCCTGTTTAAGCAAGCGCAGATACCAGGGTTTGATCCCCAGTACCACGTGTCGCACTGGCCCCGCCCCTAGGTGTGCGGAGCTGGCACGGTGGCTTACACCTGCAACCCCACAGCTGGGGAGGCTGAAAACAGTAGCATCACTACAAGTCCCAGATGCATAGTGAGACCCTGTACCAAGTACACTAAAAAAAAAAAAGAGTTCTGACTGGGGTCAGGATGGAGCTCACCTAATTTGGGAAAGGCCTCGAGTTTTATTCCCACCCAGCATTGCAAAAAATTAATAAAGGAAAAGCTTAACACCTTAACAAGATGTAAAATTTTTCTGAAGTGACATTGGTTCATGAACACTAAAAAACCTACAGAAAGGGGCAGGGGAGATTGGTCAATGGAATAAGGGTTTCCCTGGCAAGTGCAAGGGCCTGAGTTCAATGCCCAGTTCCGCAAATAAATAAATAAATAAATAACCTACCGATGACAACTTTCCAATAAAAACATAATCTTTTCAGAAGCGAGCCAAAGGTAGCTGGGCATTTAAAGCCTCCTCATCTGGCCCCACCCTGCCCCTCTCTCTGCCCTGGGGCACTGGAGGATGGCTCTGGTCCCAGCTAACAGGGACAAACATCCTACCCTAGACCTCTCCATCCTCTGCTCTCATCATCCTGCTCCAAGCCCCAGAAGCAGCCAGAATGGAGGGGCAGCCATCTTCTACCCTCCCTACCCCTCACCTTCAGGGCTCAGAAAACATCCCGCTCCCTCCTGCTGGGTCCCAGCTTCCTTCCCTCCTCCCTCTCCCTGCCTGTTTTCCCCAGGCAACCTAGCCTAGATAGCATGACTACCTGTGTTTCCTCAGGTAACCAAGTTTTCTACTTACCACCGATTTTCAGGACAGATCTGTCTGCCCTGGATGCCCTGTGGCCGCTACCGTGCCTCCCCAGCCACTCGAGTGTGGCTCAAACCTGCCTCCCAATGCTTTATCTTCACTCTTCCACAGCTATTTTTAGAGTTCTTGGCAGGCATGGGGATGCAAGATGGGTGACACAGCCCTGCCTGTTAGGGACACAGTGTATCAGGAAGGACAGTCCAGGGGAAATTCACCACGCCTCCTATCCGAGAGTAGACAGCATGCAGTTTTGCATAAACACTGTTTTGGGCACAGATGGAGTCCTTTGAGTATGTACTGGACAGATAAATGGAGAAAAGATGACCTGACTTAACATACCTTCATTGCCTGCATTCAGTGAATATTCATCAATCACGTATAAGGTGTTAGGAAAATTGAAGAATTCTGAACAGTTAGGGCTGAAAGCAGACTCTCATGAGAATCCAGACCCGCACTTCATGTGGTCGGTGTCCACAGCTGTACAGCTGTGTGCACACTTCAGAGGGTGGGGCCTGCACACTTTGAAACAGGCTCCAGAGCACACACCTGGACCTCGGAGCCCAGCAGTGAGCGCAGATTGACCCTCAGTACTGTCACACCCCACTGCAGGTCTTGCTTCCTATGCGCTGCCCACGCCTGCTTTCTGTAAGAGCTTATTTTGTTCACTTTCTGTTTTAGTACAACAGTAACATTTACCGGAGGCCTAGTGTGTGCCGAAGAACGTGCCCTGGGATGCAGGAATACAGAGGCTAGGCAGCTTGCTGGGCTCTCCACTCACTCCGGAGTGGCGCCCTTGAACAGCAAGGAGTAGGAGGAGCATCACAGGTGACCTTCCCAGTTGGAAAAGGAGCACCTTTCTTTCAGAAAAAGATCTGTTTTGTTGGTCCTTTTCAGGGCAACCGATTAGATGGAGCTCAGCGGCACCAAGGCCCTGGGTTCAAGCCCTAGTATAGATGGATGGGAGTACTATAGTCCACTTTCTCCCCTACAGAAAGCCTAAGAACGGGAAGATGCAATCAGTCTTGTCCAAGTAGAGTGGTCTGCAGTGTGAGATGGGCCAACTCTGCCGGTCCCACCCTCCCTAGGAGCCAGAGGTCTCAGGAATATACAACATCTTGCTAGCTAAGAAAGAAGTTTTCCCATCACCCAGCTTTTCCCCCTCATGCTGAGGATTAGACACAGGCCCCTCATCCTGAGCTGCACCCCCAGCCCTCTATTATTTTTTTCATTTGGAGCCTGGGCCTCACTAAGTCACTAGGGTGCAAAGGTGGGGCTTGAACTTGCAATCATCCTGCTTCAGCCTCCAGGAATGCTGAGTTTTTATCCCCCCATTTTGGTTTATCCAAGGCTGGCCACTTCCCATTCAAGGTCCCTATTTAGAAAAGACCCTACACTTTATCCACGGGGGAAAGATGAGAGATGCAGGAATAAGAGTAAGCCTGGGACATATGCTTCATCTGTGACTGAGTCCCTGCACTTGTGTCATAGGCTGGTCACACAGGTCAGAGCACTGCAGCTGTAACCATTGAGCCAGACTTAACCCTCCTGTATTCAGCCTGTGCCACACTCTGTGATTTGAACTGCATGGGCCCAGGAATTCTGGGAAGAAGTCTCTTTCCCTTAGAGGAAATTGCTGCCAGCTCCAAACGACTGCCACATCACGTTCCACAGGGCCAACGCCACATCACGTTCCACAGGGCCAACTATGTGCGCCGAGGGAGTGATCAAGTCACTAATTCAGGAGAACCCCTTTCTTTCAGGAGGTGAGTGAAGTGTAACACAATCCTGCTGCTTTCTCGCAGTCTGACCACAGGAGGATGACTAGCTCTCTTAATGGACCAGGAAAGCCAATAGAAAACACCCAGAAGTTCAAAATTCCAGAATGCTGGCAAAAGAGTTGTTCTGAGTTCCTGCACCATCTTAATGCACTGTTGAAAATCCAGGACGGCAGATGACATAGGAGAGAAGCTACTGGGAAGAAAAATAAAATACGCTGCAGCATCTTCCCCTACACATGACCTTCCAGGTCCCTACTTAGCTGATGCGCAGACCTCGTCGGTGTCACTATACAAGGGCACGAAGGATGGACAGATAGATCACAAAGGCCCCAACACGTTCATTCGATAAAACAAATTAATTTTTCAATCCTGAAAATCCACCTGAAAGATAAGTGAATCATTACCTTGAGCATGCGGATCTCCCGAAGGGCGATTTTCTTAATGACAGGGTCATCTTCCGATTCCAGAAACTTCTTGATGGCCACAATCTGACCCGTGTCCCTGTTTCTGCATTTGAAAACAACTCCATAGGACCCTTCTCCAATTTTCCCGATTTTTTCATACTTCTCCATCATAGAGGAATAAATCTTGCAATGGATTTTCACATCGCTTTCAAATGTCGCCGAGAAATGACTGCAGGGCTGGGCTGTACTCAGCGGCCCAGGCGCGCAGGGACTGCAATTCAGAACCTGGAGCCGAGGGCGCCGCCACGCACCGCACCGGCGGGCCCGTCCTGAGGCAGCCCCACTTCGGGCCCTGCTTCGGCAGAGAGCGCGGTCAGGGTCGAAGGCGCCCCAGTTCACTGCCTGCCGGACACCCAGCGAGCAAAGTGCAAGCCGGCATCCTCAACTATCCCGCTGCAAGCTGATCTGTCTGCTCAGCGGTGTGGTTCATCTGATCTGACACAGGGCCGGATGGAGAACCGGAAGGCCAAGGGCTTCCCCGGTTCTAATTTCGGGTCTCACTTCCCAGCCGCAAGAAGACACCGCGCGGTTCCCGTGGGGGCAACGGGACCTCCCGATCAGCAGCTGGCATTTCGCGCTCCTTTCCAGCACCCTGAGGGCCCGCCCCCTGCAGTTCTCCCCGCCCACCAGCCGTCGCTATGGAAACCGGCCCCTCCCCGGCCTCTGTGGGCGGAGCCTCTGCGCCTTGCTCCTGGGCCGATGTTGCTCCTGGGCCGATTTTGCTCCCGGGCGATCTTGGCACGGCTGGGTTCGTCCAACAGCCGGGAAGATCCGCAGGACTGCTAAATCCAAACTGGGCCCGGTGATGCTTGCCTGCCATCCCAGGTCTTTGGGAGGCAGAGACAGGAGGATCTGGAAATTGAGCCCAGCTTGGGTAATTCAGCAATTTAGCGAGACTCCATCTCAAGAAGAGCTGGGGGTGTAGCTCATTGCAAAGGTCCTGAGTTCAGTCCTCAGTATATTAAAAAAAAAAAAAAAAAAAAAGGAGGGGGGGCTGGAGAGATAACTCAGTAGAATAAGCACTTGCCTGGAAAGTGCAAAGTCCTGAGTTCAATCCCCGGTTCTGCAAAAAGAAAAGAAAAAAATTAAAAAGCCAACTCCTGCAGGTCGTGGTGAACACGGCGTATGAAACCGCTTGAACACCCCTCCCAAGCCAAGGGATTCCCCAACCCACACCTTGCAGTGACCAAGGTCACTCCTTCGGGTGCCCCCAGCCCATCAGAACTGAGGGCAGCTTCTGAGCGGCAGGCTCGGTGCAGGAAGGAAGGAGAGAGCCGGAGTGGAGGCCGCTCGAAGGGCTCCAAAGGCCTGTGCTAGGCAGGGCACCGAGCTCGGCCTTACTGGTGTCAGGCTCCCATGCGTCCTGGTGCAGCCCGGCCCTGCTGCTCAGAGCTGGCCACGGTGCTGGGCAGAGGGTGGGCGCCCTCGGTCCTACTCTAGGCCCCAAGCCAAGTAGCTTGCAGGGAAAACGGGACAAGCAGGCAGGCGGGGGTGCTTGGGGCCCTAAACTGGGTGCAAGGTGGCCTCCAGGTGGACTGTGAGCCTCCCACAAAGCGCCTCCAGTAGCAGCCGCAGATCCGTTTCTCTGTCCGCACAGCTTTGCCTTTTCCAGATGGTTGTAGACAAAGAATTGCATGGTCCATGGCTTTCTGAGGATGTTGCTTTCGCTGAACAGAATGCTTCTGAGATGCTCTGTGGTGCCAGCATCAGCGGTCCGCATACAGAGCAACGCTGCTTATTATCCATCCCCAGCGAGGAATAGTTGCCCCCCCCCCCAGTTATATAAGGATGCGGCACATCACTATAAACATCCCCGCACGGCCTTCTGTGTGAACAGGAATTTTTACTTCTCTTGGGAAAAATCAGTCCAATAATCCTTAAGAAAAAGTCCTAGTGGGACCATGGCCAGTGAGCTGGAAGTGGGCCAGCCAGCACCCAGCTCCTGTGAGCCCAGCTGACAAGATCGGTTCTCTTTGTAACACCTGCAGCCAGAGGCACCCAGAGATAAAGGTTTGCACTGCGTTTGGGGCGATTTGTTACGCAGCAAGGTGAACTAACACCAAAGCCTTTTCCCAGGTTGGGAAAGTCCATTTTCCTCCTCACTTTCGTCCCTCCCTCTCCCTC